GAGGAGGAGGAGGAGGAAGAACTGGGAGAAGGAGAAGAAGAGGAATGAAGAAGGAAGAGGAGATGGAATAAAGGGAGAGGCAAAGAGGAATGGAAGAGGAAGAATGATGATGGATCAGGACCAAACTTGACACAAAGACTCAATACGCCCAAATGTGAACACTGGTGGAGTTTGGGGGAAATAGACCTTGACATTTGAGAGTTGCAGTTGCTGAGATTTATAGCCCACCTACAATCAAAGAGCATTCTGATCCTCACCAACGATAGAATCAGGCCAAATTTCCCACACAGAACCCCATAACCAAAAGAAAATACTATGTTTTCTGATGGTCTTTGGCGACCCCCCTGAGACCCTCTAGTGACCCCCTCAGGGTCCCGACCCCCAGGTTGAGAAACGCTGCTCTATATGCTTTTGGATTGTGGCTCCCAGCATTCCTCAACATTGACTCTTGAGGCTTGCAACCTGCAGCTTATGAACAGCTGTGCAACTCCCACTTCTTATGCAAACCAGATATGATATCATCCACTAATCAATAACTAACTAATTAAGAGAGAGTATCACCTGTCCCCAGTTTGGCGTCTTCCTTTCCTAAATCCCAGTTCAGAAGAACAGCCTTCTAGATTTCCTGCCTGCCTCCCTCTCCTCTGAGGCTATGCTTCTAAATTAGAGCCTTGCATCAGGGATGCTGCTGTTTCTCCCACCCGTGACTCCTTCCCTCAATGGGTCCTGGGTTCGGGTCTCAGCATCTTCCCCTCCTTTCCGCATGAAGTCACCTTGGCTGCCTGTCAACCTGGCCTTTTCTCTTTAGGCTCTCATCCAGGGAATGGCTGCCTTTCATGACTTGGGATGGCAACCCTTTGGCACCTGTTTCCCTCCTCAGATCATCACACTCCATGCTCTCATCTGGATAAGTAGCTCCAAAGGCTCAACATGGCACATTTGCCCCTCGGATTGGTGCTGGGGTTTTGCAAAGCTTCTGGTGCAAAACTTTGACAGGCAAATACACTGCAGGCATGTTCTTGGGGAGAGCTTGGAACCAGGGGCGGCTCGTCCATTACGCGAAGTAAGCGGTCGCAGAACACTTTTTTTCGCCAGGGGCGCAGAGGCGCCTCTGTAAATGCCCCTTGACCACCACTTGAGGAGCACCTCCTCAGCCCACAACAGCCTAGCAGTCTGGGGGGAACCTCGGCTTTCTTGCCTCGCTGCCGGGCGATCCTCTCGCCAAATTTATTTATTTATTTATTTATTTATTTATTTACTGCGCTTATATACCACAATTCTCAGCCCAAGGGCGACTCATTGCGGTGTACAACATAGAAAAACAGTGCAAATTACAAAACATAGTGTAAAATAATCCACAATTCATCATTATCAGAAAAAAAAACATCATCATTATCAGAAAAACATCTCATCAAAACATCAACATTATTGCAAAAGCCATTCCGAGTCGTCTCATCGTCAAACCCACAATCCGATATCATTTCCGTTGTTCCATTCCTATGGTCAAATTACCAGTCATTGCACTTCTTGATCAAATGCCTTCTTAAACAGCCAGGTCTTTAACTTCCTGCGGAATATCAACAGGGAGGGAGCTAGCCTGATGTCCACGGGAAGGGTGTTCCACAGCCGAGGAGCCACCACCGAGAAGGCCCTATCTCTCGTCCCCGCCAGCCGTGCCTGTGACGCAGGCGGGATCGAGAGCAGGGCCTCCCCGGAAGATCTCAAAGTCCTCGTGGGCTCATAGGCCGAGAGGCGGTCAGTTAGGTATCTTGGGCCGGAACCGTTTAGGGCTTTATAGGCCAATGCCAGCACCTTGAATTGAGCCCAGTAGCAGATCGGCAGCCAGTGGAGCTGGTACAGCAGGGGGGTTGTATGCTCCCTGCGTCCCGCTCCTGTTAGTATCATGGCTGCCGCACGTTGGACCAGTTGGAGCTTCCGGGCCGTCTTCAAAGGCAACCCCACGTAGAGAGCGTTGCAGTAGTCTAAACGGGATGTAAACGGCCGGGCCCTTGAGCCTCGCCTAGCCCCTCTCGTTCCTGCTCCACCCGGCCACTGGGTGCGCGAGCAGAGCCGGCACTCAATTGTTCTCTGCGTTCGATCCCTTCCCCATGACCGGCTCCCTTTCCCGATCCCCGGTGCTCCACCCGCCTCCTCTCCTCTCCCCAATCCGCGGGTGGGGCGGAGCCGCCGCATCTGGCCCGCTTCGGGTCCGGAGGCGTGTCTGAAGACCCCAGCGTGCGCACCAAAAGTCGCCTCTTCTCCTGACTTTCTCTTCAGCCATTGGGACCAAGAGAGAGAGAGAGAGAGAGCCCCTCCGGCTGGAGGTATCTCCCACCTCCGCTCCCTCCTTTGTTTTTGCGCCTACCTTCAGGAAAGGTGGGCATCTCCACCTCTCTCTCTCTCTCTCTCTTGGTCCCCATGGCTGAGGAG